TCATTTGGGTCTGCTCCCATGGAGATCGCTGACTAGGGCCTGCTCCACCGAGGTAAAGGGTTAGGGCCTGTTCCTGCAGAGCTCACTGGCTTAGGCCTGCTCCCACAGAAGTCACTGATTTGGGACTGCTTCTAAAGAGGTCGCTGGTTTGGGCCTGCTCCTGCAGAGTTTGCTGGCTTGGGTCTATTTCCACAGATGTCCCTGACTCGGGACTGCCCCCGAAGAGGTCTCTGGCTCGGGACTGGTTCTGCAGAAGTCTCTGGCTGAAGCTTGCTCCCTTGGCGGTCACTCCCTCATACCTGACAGCCCGTGTCTTTTTATAGGTGAACTGAGTTCATTGATATTAAGAGATATTAATGACTAGTGATTGTTAATTCCTTCTATTTTTTAGTGGCAGTGTTTGTTTCCCTTCTTTGGGGATTGTTGGTGTGAGGTAATCTGTTGCCTGTATTTTTATGGGTACAGATAGCTTTTTTGGGTTGGAGTTTTCCTTCTAGTACTTTCTGTAAGGCTGGGTTTGTGGAGAGGTCTGGCTTTGTCATGGAATATCTTGTTTTCTCCATCAATACTGCTTGAAAGTTTTGCTGGATATAGTTGTCTGGTCTTGCATCCCTGGTCTCTTAGTGTCTTTTGCACATCTGTCCAGGAGCTTCTGACTTTTGGGGTTTCCACTGAGAATTCAGCTGTACTTCTGAAGCGTCTGCCTCTACATGTTACATGGTCTTTTTCCTTTTCAGCTCTTAATATTCTTTATTTCTGTATGTTTAATGTTTTGATTACTGTATGGTGAGGGGACTTTTTTATCCAATCTATTTGGTGTTTTGTAAGCTCCTTATACCTTCATAGGGATATCTTTCTTTAGGTTGATGTAGCTTTCTATGATTTTGTTGACTACATTTTCTGTGGCTTTGAGCTGGAATTCTTCTCCTTCTTCTAACCCTATTATTTTTATATTTCATCTTTTCATGGTGTCCCAAATTTCCTGAATGTTTTGAGTTAAGAATTTGTTGAGTTTAACATTTTCTTTGACTGATGTATCTATTTCTTCTATTATATCTTCAGTGCCTGAGATTCTCTCTTCCATCTCTTTATTCTGTTGGTTATGCTTGCATCTGTAGTTCCTGTTTGTTTACCCTGATTTTCCATCTCCAGAATTTCCTTGGTTTATTTTTTTCTTTATTGCCTCTATTTCAGTTTTTAAGTCTTGAAGTTTTTGAACTGTTTGCTTTACCTGTTTGGTTGTTTTTTCCCTTGCTTTTCTTTAAGAGATTTATTAATTTATTCCAATTTTTATCTGTTTTTCCTCCTTTTCTTTAAGTGAATTTTTCATTTTTTCTTTTAGGGTTTCTTTCATTCTCATAAAGTTATATTTAAAGTCATTTTCTTTTGCTTTTTTCAGGTTAGGATGATCAAGTCTTCCTGTTGTACGACTACAGGGTTCTGGTATTACCATGTTGCTTTTTAGGTTGTTGAATTAATTCTTGCATTGGTGCCTACACATCTCTTCCTCCAATTGGTACTGTCAGTGTCTTTGCTCCTTGGTCCAATTCTTGCAGTTGATGTCTGTGTCTCAGAGATCCTCTCTTGGATTGGTTGTTAGAGATGCTGTCTGTGTCTCAGTTCAGAGGTCTCCATGGATAAGGGGGTGTTTGGGTGCAGTGGAATTGGTAGGTTACAGGGTCTGATAGATGGGGGGAATGTTGGAGTAACCTTCCTGCTTGTAGTTTGTCTTTTGACTGGCTAGTGAAGCTGAGGCAGGTGGGGGAGAGGCCCAGGGTTTTATCCCTGTACCAAGGGCCTAAAGACTGGGCTGTTCAGTTGGGAGCTGGTCACTCACCTCTTGGTCCACTATGTGCAGTCACAATCTGTGCATCAGAGGTCCTCTGAGTTTGTGGGGAGATGGGTGGCTCTGGGAGAGGAGTGGTACTTGCAGTGTACAGGTTTTGATAGATGGGGGTTGTTGGAGTAGCCCCCCTGTAGGAGGCTTGCCTGGTGGCTGGCTAGAGAACCTGATGCAGGTGGGAGAGGGACCTGAAGTTTTGCCCTGTACCTAGGGTCTAGAGATTGGGGTGTCCCGCTGAGTGGCTGATCATTCACCTCTTGGTCCACTCTGGACAGTTGCAGTCTGTTCCTGAGGCCCTATCTTTAAAAAACAAAAGTTTGTAGGTCTTGTGTGAAAAGTTTCTGCACCCTGATAAGCCTCTTCGTTTATGCAATAATCCAAATCAGACCAAATGAAACTGCATTAGAAAAAGCCCAGGTTTAATGGATACAAGTACTCCCACATGGCTTTCTAGCCCACAGAGAGAAGAAGGGAAAGGAAGACTGGAAAACCACATGTTTGTTCTCTGGGGAAGGGGGCAGTTTAAATACAGTGGGAGTTGTCTTGAGCCTCTCTGTGGAGAAGTCCTTTGTGGGGCTTTCTAGGGGTGGAGTCTGTACTGAGGCAACTTCAAGGGAAGGGGGCTTGGAATGGAATCCACCCGAACATACAGCTGGGTATAGTAGCCTTGTCAGTAATCCCAGTTCTTGGAAGATCAATGCAGGTATGTGAGTTTAAAAAGCCACTCCCTCCAAACCCCAAATGCAGAAAACAGATTATTCTGCTTCTGTCTTTTGAGTGTAGAGATGTAGCTATAAACCTCAAGCTTGAGCTATAAACCTCAAGAAGTAAGTGAAAAGCTAAAATAACAATAGTGATAACTCCCGGTCCTGAGGAACATTTGTTTTACATACAAAGAAGAGTCAGTTTTTTTAATCAAAGTTAAATTTAACTAATACATTAATGGGAGCCTTGTCACACTTCAGCATGTGAGCATACACAGTCTTTACATCGGGTCACAACCAAGTCCTCAGCATTTGTCTTTTCCTGTTGGCAACTTCCCAGTGCTTTCCTGCAGGTGCTGGAAATATGAACTACATCACCATTTTCTATAATCATCTGATTTGCAGTAGCATAGGGCACGTTTTATTTGCTCTAACAGTAACTCAGCAGTCATTCACGGCCTCTCCTTTTCCCTCGTTTCACTCCCGTTAGCTCCCACCAGTCTGCCTTGGTGATGGCAGCAGCAATGGCTACTTCACTGCCAGCTGGGGCAAACTTCATACTTCCCTATATGACACGCGCACTCCTTAAAAGTTTGTCAGCCAGAGTTACTTGCTTGCTCCTCTTGCTACCCTCTTACTCCTCTCTTGCTTTTTCTCTCTGTCTGCCTCTCTCACGTCGCTGCTACAAGACAACTATTCACTCTGTTGCTCTCTCCTCTTCCCCTCCCCAGGAAACCTCTTACACTAGATCTGTTGCACAGGCAATGTTCTCTTAGCTACATTCCTTAGCAGAGCCTACCAAAGGCACCTACTTCACTCAGTTTAATCCTTTCACTTCCCAAGTGAACCAATTTAAAGACCTTATTTGGCTCACAGGTAAAAAAGCTTGCCCTGCAAACCTATTTACCTAAAGGCAACCGTGGGACACATGATAGGCGAGAAATAGCTCCTGAAAGTTACTTCCTGACTCCACTCCCTCAACCACAGTCTCTCTCTCCTCTGTCTCGGCCTCTCTATTTCTGTCTCTAATTTTTCCTCCTCCCCTAAACACCTAAACACTATATCTTTTTAAATTGGGGGAAAACCCACAAAACTTATCTCAGCATAAAGGCATTTGCCTACAAACCTAGGTATTTAGGAGGCTGAAGGGTGAGAATAACAAATTCAAGGTTAGCCTGGACAACTTATCAAGGCTATAGCCAAATCAAACAGGGCTGAAGCTGTCAGCTCAGTGCTGAGCACGTTCATAGCATGCTCCAGGACCTGAAAGCAATTCCAGCACTGGAAATTTAAAAGAAGGGGGAGGGGAAGGGAAGGGAGGAGAAGAGGAAAGAATTGAAGAGAAGAGAAGAGAAGAGAAGGGGGGGTTCCCACACAGCAGGGGCTGCCTGCCTTCCAGACCCCAGATTAGGCACAAACCACACCCAAACACCTGTTTTCACGGAGATCTCCTTTATTAAGCGGGGAAGTAAAGGTAAAGTGACTGCTTACTGAGTCAGGCAGAGAAACATCAGCAAAGAGAAAAAGGGGAGGTCCGTGTTAGAATGGGTTAGGGTGCAGTGGTAGAGGAGAGAGAGGATAAGAGAAAGGGAACCAGACAAGGGAGGGGGCAGTGGTATTTGTCCCAGGGGACAAAGGACTGCCTCTGGATAGAGGGGAGATAGATGTGACCAACAGGAAAATGGTGGTTTAAAAAAGTAAAGGGGAAAGCCTTTGTTAGATCAGTTTTAATTGGGCATGTTAATTAGGTGAGCCAAAGGGGGTTTCTGATTGCTGGACCTTGGTAGTCAGCTTCAGAAAGGGAAAACAGACAAGTAAGGAATTAGACCTTAGTGGCTAGCTTTAGGAATTTTATTCTAATGGCTTTTAGAAAGGCAGAGACAATGGGGGAGAAGGGCAAGGACTTCCAGGGCTGCACGCTAATGTTTCAGAGAGAGGGAGGAAGGGAGAGAAAGACAGACAGACAGACAGACAGAGACAGAAAAACAATCAGGTAACCAAAATGGTTGGATTTATAGGGAAGGGCAACCCAACCCCTGCGCTGGACTACTGCAGGGTATGTTAGGAGTATGCAAGCCATACCCCGTCACAGGTAGGAACTGAGGGATGCAGGGAGAACTTGGTAGCCAGGGTCTGCCTTGATACCTTAAGTATGCACCTCAGCTTTTTGTAGTGGGTTTGAGCTTTAACAACCTGTACCCAGAGGAAGAAGGGAAGTGCCTGCTTAGTGCAGGTAGTGCAGGAACGACTTTTCCAGTCCAGGCGCAAGTTCTACAAAGCCCATCTCTGCAGGTCTGGGACAGGTCTGTGCCTGGAGATGCCCTCAGGGCTGGGAACCGCTGCGCTGCGAGCTTTCAAAACACTCTGTCCGTAAGGTGCTTGCGACTGTCAATCAAGACACAGTAGCCAATCAGGGCTTCCAGTTAGGCCGCCAGTCAGAAGAAGGGAAGATACTTCCTGTCCTCCATGCTGCAGGGTCGGCGACTCCGGGATTGGGGGAGGCTTTGTGGTTCCGTTTGCTGCGCTGTGACCCGCGGTCGGGAGCTGTGGGGGAGAGCGGGGCGAGCTCGGAATCCGCCATGGTGAGCGAGGGCCGCCGTCCCCAGACGGGAGGAACCGCGGGAGCCGGTGTGGGATCCTCCCGGGGCTGTGGAAACCGCCGGACGCGGCGCCCCGTGAGGTCCCTGCTGTCCCTGCAGCTCCCGGGTCCTGCGGCTTCTGAATAACTTCCATCTGTGGGCTGAACCTGCACAGAACACCGGTACCTGGGTGCTGTGCCTGCATAGTGCCATAGTATGATGTCACAATACAGAGCGCGCGCATGCGCTGTTTTTACTGTCACCTAGAAAGGCAGCTTTGCTAACTCTTGGAGCCCTAGTCACTCTAGTGTCTACCAGAAGTTCTGCGTTTGGCCCCGAACATTCACCTGCAGGATCCGCCTGCAGTTAATTCTTTGCAGGACATAAACTCTATATCAGTAACACATTTGCCTGCAGATACCAGGGTAGTCCAGTCACTTGCCTCAGTAATGCCAGACTCACTGAGTTTCCCGGCCTAATGTGTTACAGTTGACTCTGTAGAAATAGTGTTTTTTTTTTTTATTTTTAACTTTGCTCTTATGTTCTGTTGATACCTTTATTCTTTCCCAGACAGTACAATATTTATTGCAGTCATACGAGAAGTTTTGAAATCAGATGATGTCAGTGTGTGTGCTATGTACTCAATCTTGTGTAGACCAGTTTTTATTTATGATGAACTTTTCACGTCAGGTTTCTATTGACAGCAAAAATTGTTAGAAATATTATTGGACTGTTGCTGATTTATAGCTCAATTGTGTACTGAAATAATAATGAGGCTTCCTGTCTTCAATCAAGTAATTTCTCTCCTTTGATCAAGAGTTCTTTAATTCTTTTAATTACAAAGTTATAGTGTTGGTTACAGATATTTGTCACATCTCTGTATTTCTGGCATATTTATCTTTGATGACATAAGATGTGAGGGTATATGTTTTTAATTTTTCAATATTATTTCATGTGTATGAGTGATTTGCTTGCATGTATGTATGTTGACCACATGTGTGTTTTGTGCTCACAGAAGACAGAAGGAGGCATCAGATCCCCATGCAAACAGCATCTAGGGATGATTGTGTGTACCATGTTAGTGCTGTGAACCAAACCCGGGACATCTACAAGGAAAAAAAAAGTGGTGGTAACTGCTGAGTCATTACTCCAGTCCTAAACTTTGCAATTTTGTGTGTGTGTGTGTGTGCAAGTATATGCTGAAAAACAAGTGTTAAGAGAGTTGAGGTTTGCTTAACACTCTGTCATTGGGACTTGGGAGATGATGCAGCAGGTATGCTGGTTAGATTTGGCCAACTTGCCACATGCTAGAGTCAGTCTGGCCTGTAGGCAAAGCTATAAGAGTGTTTTCTTGATTGAGGCAATAGGGGCCTTCCTACCCTGGGCAGGTGAGCCCGAGTTTTAGAAGGAAGCCAGCTGAGCAGGCCATGGTGGCAGGGGGCACTCGCAGTATTTCTCCAGGTCGACAGCACATGTGGCATGCACAAAGCCTATAGTGTATATAAGTTGTCACATCTGTTCCTGGCCTGCCCTTGTTGGAGTGTCATCCATAGTGGGAGACTTGTAATTGTTGAAGAGATTTTTCTCAGTTAATCTCATTGGGAAGGTGCACTAATTCTGGAACAGTTGCACCTTCAAGCTTTCAAACACCGTTTTGAGACAAGATTTGTTATGTTTACTCTCTTTGAGTTGATCCCGGTGTTTAGGCCCACAGGACATCCACCCTGCTGTCCTCCTGACTCCACCTCCTCAATTCTTGATTAAAGGTTTGTAGGAACACAGACTTATAAAACTCTCCATTTGAGTCACACAGTGGGCTATCTATTGTATTTTCCTGTTAGTGTGTGGAACTAAGGAGGTGTGTGTGCAGCATATCTATCATATCTGGTCTCCATTGAGACCAGAATAGAAAGAATGGTTTACTGTGTACATTGCAGGGGAAACAGGCTAGGCCATAGTGAGGGTAAAGGTTCTTGAAGTCATTGTCCTGCAGGTGTCTCTCTTATAATGAAGATCCTGATTGGGCAGGGTGAGTGCCTTTCTGTGTACTTTCCCAGCATGCAGAAACTCATACCATATGAATGAAAGAAAACAAATCCTGTGGGAGGTTACCTTGAGCCACTGAAATTTCCGATTGGGCAACTCTGTCATGTTGGTTCCTACAGACCTGGTTGTCTCAGTTTAGTCAGGTGAGAGGATTGAGATGCCAAGTGTTCGGCTGTGGCTTGTGTGTGAGCCTGCAGTACTCCGCAGCTAACATTTTACACAGGGCTGGGTCATAGAGTCTCTTACACACGTGGACGTGAGTTCTGTGCAGGATGATGAGTATAGATCTGTTTGCATTCTTCTACATGCAGACATCCATTTTGACCAGCATGGCTTGTTGGTGCAGCTGTCTTTTCTGTGTGTATTTCTGGCATCTTTATCAAAACCCAGGTATCTATAGGTATCTATAGGCATGTAGGTTCATTCCTGGGTCTCAATTCGATTCTATTGATCAGTGTGTCTATTTTTATGTGAATACTATGTGTTTTTTATTACTATACCTTTGTAGTACAGCTTGCATTCTGAAATGGTGAGACCTTCAACAATTCTTTTTCTGTTCAGAAGTGCTTTAGCTGTCTTGGGTGTTCTGTTTCTCCATTTTAGGTTGAGAATTATCTTTCAAGGTCTGTAAAAAAATTGTGTTTGGATTTTGATGGAGATTGCATTGAATGAATCTGTAGGTTGCTTTTGGTGGGATTGCCATTTTTACTACGTTAATCCCACCAATTCATGACCATGGGATGTCTTTCTATCTTCCCATATGTTCCTCGGCTTCTTTCTTCAAAGACTTGAAGTTTTTATCATATAAGTCTTTCACTTGCTTGGTTAGAGTTATCCCAAGCTATTTTATATAATTTGAGACTGTTTTGCAAGGTGTTATTTCCCTGCTTTCCTTTTCAGCCCCTTTGTCATTTGGAGAGCTACTGATTTTTGTGAGTTAATTGTGCATCTAGCCACTTTGCTGAAAGTGTTTATCGGCTATAGGAGTTTCCTTGTGGAATTTTTAGAGTCACTTACATATACTATTGCATCATCTGCATAAAAATACTTTGATGTCTTCCTTTCCAATTTATATTCCCTTAATCTCCTTCGGTTGTCTTATTGATCTAGCTAAGACTTCCAGTTCCATGTTGAATAGATATGGTGTGAGTGGGCAATCTTGTTTAGTTCGTGATTATAGAATTTTGATTTACTCATTTAGTTTGATGATGGCTATAGATGATTCCTACTTGAGCATGGTGAATGATCTTTTGATGTGTTCTTGGATTTCGTTTTTAGATCTCTTATTGACAAGTTTTACATCTATGTTCATAAGGGAAATTGGTCTGTAATTCTCTTTCTTTGTTGGTTCTTTATGTAGTTTAGATTTCAGGGTAACATGGCCTCATAAAATGAATTTGGAGCTCTACTGGCTGGTTTTGTGTTTCAGCTTGACTCAAGTAGAATCATCATAGAGGAAGGAGGTTCAGTTGAGGAAATTCCTCCATGCGATCCAGTTGTAAGATTTTTTTCTCTATCAGTGATAAATAGGGAAGGCCTCAGCTCACTGTGGGTGGTGCCATTCTTAGGCTGGTGGTTCTGGGTTCTATGAAAAAGTAGGCTGAGGAAGCCAGGGAGAGCAGGCCAGTAAGCAGTACCCCTCTTTGGACTCTGCATCAGCTTTGACCTCCAGGAACCCGCTCTGTTTGAGTTTCTGTTCTGATTTCTTGGTGATGATCAGCCATGTGGGAAGTATAAGCTAAATAAGCCCTTTCCTCCCCAGCTTTCTTTTTGGTCGTGATGTTTTGTTGCAGCAATAGAAGTCCTGAGACAGCCAATGTTCTTTCTGTTTCTGTTTTGTGGAATAACTTTTATTGTACTGATAATAACCTTTCTTTGAAAGTTTGATGGAATTTCGTGGTAAAATGATCTGGGCCCTGGGTTGGTTTGTTTGTTGTACAGAAATGTTGTGTTTAAGACAGAATTCCCTTTTGTTGCCACTTATCTCCTGACCTCCCGGTGCAGCCCTGGTTAGTAGGATGCCTGAATCCAGGCATGTGCACCTGGTCAGCTTGGCGTACTGTTTAAAAGGCTCTGGAAGAGTTGGGGTAAAGACTTCCTAAGCAAACTGAAGCAGTAACAGTAGAACCTATTTGCATTTCTTTAACCCCAGGAGTTAAATCCAGCAGGATGTAGACTCTGGCAGCTGCTTTCTGTTCTCCCCCACTTCAGAGGTCACACATCCAGGTTCACATGTACTCCTCTTAAGGCAAATCATTAGTGTCAACTTTTATGTCAACTTGACGCAAGCTAGAGTCATCACAGAGGAGGGAGCCTCAAGTGAGGACATGACTCCATAAGATCATGCTGTATACAAGCCTGTGGGGTATTTTCTTACTTTTTGATTGATGGGAAAGGACCAGCCATTATAGGTGGTGCCATCCCTGGGCTCATGGTCTTGGGTTCCATAAGAAAGCAGGCTGAGAAAACCATGCAGAGCCAGCCAGTCAACAGCACCCTCCATTGCTTCAGTGTCAGCTTCTGCCTCCAGGTTCCTGACCTGCTTGAGTTCCTGTCCTGACTTCTTTCAGTGATGGACTAATGATGTGGAAATGTAAGCCAAATAAACCTTTTCTTGCCCATGTTGCTTTTGGTATTTATTGTAGCCATAGAAACCCTAAGACAACCTCCCTGACAATTTTGTAAAAAAACAAACAGACAAAAAAAAAAAAAAAAAAACCCGCCAAAAAAACGCCCCCCTGTGCTGTCCAGATCTGTTTCTTCATTAACTATCCTAATGGTAGGTGTACATCCTATCTCACAGTAAGATTCCTAAGGAATCAGTTCAAGACTTGATTACTGGTAGGTTTTTGTTCAACATTTCTTTTACTGGCATAGCTACAGAGACCAGAAAATGCTTGGTAGGTTGAGGCAAGGAGGATGTGCTTGAATATAGCTTGGCTATCTGGCCAAGCTCC